GCAGGGTTTATATTTTTAAATCAGGGTCCCTGATTTCCAGCTTCAGCCGTTTCCAGCATCAGCCGCGACATTTATTAATCGTAAAAAATATTTAAGAATCAATTTAAAAAGCAAAAAATTATTCTAAAATCTGTAATCGTTCTACACTTAGAATCGATGTTCACTCATTTTACAACTCACCATAATGTATTAAATTTGATATAGGTAAAACAAAAAGCATTTTTTTTTGTGGCAATGTAAAAAGTTATTAATAGAATTATTTCATGAATAATGGAGTAAGCAATGAAATATGAAAAGTTTATTCAAAAAAAGCATTTCAATTTAACGTTCCAAAAGCTGGAAGAACCCGCTTTAGTGAAATGCGTGATTATCTCTCGATAGCAAAGACAAATATCCATAGAATGAAAGATCGCTAGTTAAAAAATCTCCTCTTTATTTGCATATCTATTAAAAATGTCGTTAATACTATTCTTAGTGCTAGTTATGAATTGTAAGAAGGTTAGCAAGCTAAATTTCATGTGTATACAATATTCGAGTTATATATTATATGTTGTAGAATGTTATGCACCAGTGAACCCTATTATTATATATAATTTCTTCTCAGTATATTGATCAAATAATAATAAAGTTTAGAATAAAAACTGATATGTGTATCCGTAAATTATTAGATGCTATATAAAATTAAATGTGAATAAATAAATACGTAGAATGCCTTTATTTATCATAGTTTTAAAAAAAATATATATAATAGTAAATACTATTAAATCAATTTCTACAACGGTTAAATTAAGAATGTTTTGTACAGATAATGTTATTTTTATACGTTGTTTGCAGAAGTCCTAGAAGCCTTTTCTCCTTGGAATTAAAGATTTTAATGTTTTTGGCACTTCAAGAATAAAATAAACAAAACAACCAAGCAATCTAAATAATGCTAATCCGGCAATAGACCAAAGAATAAATATTACATAAACATTAATTGTTAATGTTGTAGGTAAATAATGATTAATGCTTAAGACAATGGTTGCTAATACTGCATTTGATAAAATCCATGAAAGTACAAAGTAAATTCGAAATCTTTTCCTATATTCTTCCTCGGTTAATACATTCATATTTCTAACTTTATTTTCTTTACGATGACCTAAAGCATTCTTGGCCTTTTCATATCCGTCAGCAGTATCTATGGGAGTGAATTGTAAGGAATCATTTCCATGTGTAGTTACTTGTTTCAATTCATTATCATCATCTGCCTCTCTGTTCCCCCAACTGTAAATTGAATTAAAATTATAATTAAAAATATAATTAACTTGAATGTATACAAATAATGATAATGAACTTAAACAGATAAAATTTGTTTACATTACCTTACATCATGAACATTACAGAAAGCATAAACGTTTAGAATGTTTACATAAAATGGTACTAATAAAGTATACTGAATGATACAAGTAAACATATGCAATGGATCAAGCATCAAAAAACTTCCAATTAAATATAATCCGAATGTAGAAAGTAAAGCCATAATGATGTTTCTAAAAGGTTCATCATAAAGAAGTGAATTAATGTTGGGATTGTTATATAGGATACCCTTAATGGTAAGCCAAAGCCCAGCGAAAAATGTGTAAACCATAATTAAACCAAAAAATATTAATGAAATTATGTAAGCATATTTAGAACTATGCATATTTTTTTTAAAAAAAAAAATTATATTAGAAAGTGAATAGTAATTAATAAAGAATAACTACAGTAATAATGTATATTAACCTTTTAGGTTTATTGCCCATGGCAAAAATGAACTGCGCACAGATCAGCGCAACATAAACCCAAATAAAAATAACGAATATCGTTTCACTGATTGGTTTAATAATTGATTCTTGCCAAGTTTGATCCTCTTGATTGGAAAAGGAATCCCCAACTATATAAAACGTTAGAAAGAAATTTGCCTGAAATAAAAATAAAATATAAGAAGAACGGAATTATAATTAATAAAGTTAACGGAATTTTTTACTGCATACTTACCAATGCAAACCACGAAAAGAAAATGTTATATGCTTGGTATAACATTTCGATATGCAAAAAGATTTTGCGCAAAATAGAGTGCTTACTTCTCCAAATATAATAAAAATGAGAAACAGCGTAAAGACTTGCAAAAAGGGAACCATTTAACCAACGTCTACGTTGGGAAATTAATTTATCTATACTTTTTGGTATGTCCGTTTCAGCTTGAGAAGATTTAACATAATGTAACAACCATTCCGAATCACGTTTTGTAACCAATTCAAAAGTAAGAATACGATCTTCGGCAAGATACATATTGGCTGTGAAGATGTTATTTGTAGACTTTTCATTATTGATGATTTCTTCATTCCTTCTTTCATCATTACCATCTTTATTACTTTCGTCATTATCATCTTTTTCACCCATGAAATAAGAGGCAAGGGGACCTTCAAGCTTTCCATCAACTTTCTCATTTTGAAGTGCGATATATCGATAAGCAGAAAAGGCACCAGGTAAAACGGTAATGTAACCAAAAACGGATTCAAGTGGTTTATCCAAAATATTTGACATTTTATATTCAAAGTATTGAGCAGCCACAATCGGATTTAGTAATTTGGACCAACTCGTCATAGCAACTATTTCACCACAAATCCCCGCAACATTAAGATGAGTCTTAAACGTTTTCCACAGATTATAGATAGAGTTTTCTCCTTTAAAAAAATTATTAACAATGTTAGATTTATAATCTAGGAACTGCTTATATCATATAAAAATATTGATGAATAAAGTCACTGAGCATAACTAACTTGGTCTAGTGCCAACATCAATAAGAATACATATTTTAGGTTGGAGAATTGGACTAAAGGCATTAAAAAACCATCGATGAGAATTAATTTTTTTTGCATTCTTTTCTTTATGGCAAAAGAGTACTTGGATTGGAACAATTCTTTCATCAGCCGTCTTCATGTTTAGATCTTGATTAATTGAAATTTGAGTTGTATACTCGAATATATGAGCTTTAACTTTAACATCATCTATACTTTTGATTGCAATTCCTTCTTGATAAACACCAAGAACTGTTAAATAAGCTAAGCAACGTTGTTTGAATTTTTTACGGCCATCAGATACTATGCATACGACAATATTTTTCCAAGAATCTTGATTCTTATGGAATTTAAATAGAAATAAATGAAACAAATATTTAATAACAAAGCCAGTTACAAAAAAAAGTAATAAAGATATTATACCCAAAAATTACTGCTTCCTCTAGCGCAAAGAGATGCAATATTTTCTGCAATCCCGTGAAAAGTTCGAGCCAATTCATCTACATCTTCCTATTATAAGATTATTATAAGATTATTATAAGATGTTTAATCATAATATGTTATTATAATGTGAGCAATGAGGGGTTACAATCGTGATTTATTGTTCTTACATCATACATAGTAACAACGATAAACAACTCAGTTTCCCTATGATATTCAGCTTGGCGAAGTGTAAAGCCATTGTCCATAAAATCGTCCGGATTACTTGTGCAGGCAGTATATCTCATGAATTTAAATTCATCTTGTTCTATGTCTCTACAATTCCTTAAAAGATCAGAGGGTATTTGACAATTTCTTATAAATTTTCCGTTCTGTAATGTAATTTCTTCCGTATTAGTTTGGTTTGTGGATGATGTATCTGGTTCTATGTTATCATCATCAGTAAGATGATTTTGTGCATATTGTCCATTGTGATTTGAGGTATTCCTCCCATTTGGCGTGTATACGTTTTGTTCGTGTTCC